GAGACCCAGACATGACTCGAACTTGACAAACAAAGAAAACTTGGACATGAAACGTGACAGATAAACACACGAAGACTTAACACAGAAAACTTCACACAGGGATGAGACAAATGGGGAGCTTGATAGATCATGAATTAAAACTGTAACCTAGGCATGACAGAATGTAACTAGATAAACTGAAATGAAACTAGACTGAAAGGAATAACAAAATCATCAAGAAACTCAGAATACTGGGTCACATGACCCAGGACCATGACAGGGAGTAGCTCACACGTAGGTATGAATTAGAGTCACTGCTTTCTGGTGCAGTTCATGAATCCATACTTCTAAATGCCTGAATATGGATTAAACCACCATAAATATTTTGTATATTTAACTGTTAGTCACTTTACTCATCTTATATATTTTGAAGCTAGAGGTTGAGCTCAGGCAGAAGTTTCAGGGGTGAGGCAGGACTTGGGTTTCTGTGCATGATTTTAGGTATTGCATACAATTTAAACAATTCAAGAAAAGTAGCAGCAATCTAGTAATTTGTGACTTGAATGTTTGCACTGGGCACAGAAAAGACAACCTCAAACAAAAACATCCTAGTAAAGTTTATGACAAGTTACCGGATAAATGGTTCAGAATATATCAATTGCCCAAACTAATAATAGTGAAATAATCTGAATCAAGGCCCCAGCAAAGATATGCTAGAGGACAAAGAAAGAAGGGACGGTATCGTGTAGAAAAAAGAAAAGGAAGCTGGAGGACAATGACAAAACAATGAGGCAAGAACAGACCAATGTGGAATTTGTAGCTATCTTCACAAATTGTGCAGATTACCGTAGGCAGGTGTGTCTGCCAGCAGAAAAGAATGGATGACGTCATTAGGAAATCACACTCTGCAAAATCAGCTGCTTTGGTGTATTTCTGCATTATTTCTTCACTTCAACATATCGTGCTGGACTTGCTCTGTGTAAGCGTACATATCATTCAACATCCAACCCATGGAGCGAGACAGAGTGATAGAGACAGAATTGGCGCTAAGAGCGAAGACAGGAGGGGAAAAAAACAAACAAAAAAAGTGGATCTGGCTGCAAGAAAATAGATCCACAATATCGATCGAGAGTCTCCAAGGCTGTCTCAGTTACAGGAAATGACCTCCTGAATTATAAATAGAGCATAGTACTAAGAGGGAAACAATACCAACATCATTCATACACGCACAAATATACAAACATGAACACTGCTTTGTCTCTGTACATGGACCGGCTCTTGTCTTTCTTGTCATTTTGTAGGTGTGCTGTGCTCTCGATCTCTCTGCTTCACTTCCTGCACAGATGGTAAGTCGCCTCCACAAAGCTGCATCCTACCTCCCTCAAACACACAGTCACACACACAATTACATACTGTACACGCATCCACGGCCAATCTTACGCAACATTCAGCGTATGATTTTTGCCTGCACCCCACACTGGAGTCTAAAAAAGCTTGTCTATAAATAAACCTGGAGCCCACACACTCAGCTGCAGCTACGCAGAAGTTTTGTCAAATAAATTAATTCTCTTTATAAAGCATCCACTGCCTCGTTACCCAGTTTTCTGCATCCTCCCAATGCAGTGCAAGTTTATAGATAGATTTGAGCAACTTACAAAACTGCTGATCAGGTCTTTTTTTCTTTTTCACAATCCAAAACCTTCTAAATCACAATAACAAGCACAAACAACGAGCCTTAAAAAAAAACTGGAAATATATCATGCGCATATATCATTCAATGGCAGTGGAAAGAAGAGAAGCAGGGGGACCTACCCTCTCTGGGGATGCAGACGGCTGTGACTATTGGCTGCTGAGCAACACAACTGTGTCACAGCTCCCAACAGGGATTTATGCTGCTCCGCTTGTACTTAACATCAAGATTTAATCAGTCTTATGAGGTGGGCAAATGTGAACATACATAAAAAGGGATTGCCTCATTGTTAATTAGTGCAGTCGTTTGTATTTAACTCGCTGTTGTTGCTTTATTGTTGTGTTCCTGATGGCTACTTCCTGAATGGACAAGAAAATGCCGCTTTGAATGTGTGCTGAAAAATAGTCTATTAGTATTCTGCCTCTGCCGTCATGAAAATCACTGGGAGGTGATTCATGCTGAAAGAGCTTGTCTCTCTTTGTGAGCTGATCAAACTGTTAATGAAAAGTGCTGTGGCCCACTCAATAAGGAGCTATTTTTGCCTTCGTTTAGTCAAGATTTGAACCCCAACAGTGTTGCCTTTAAATTAGATTCCTGCCTCTGATAGCAGCCTTACTCTTAAGAACATTTGATTACCCAGAACGTTGATTTTATCTGGCTTAAACAGCATTTGTCTTCCGTTTTTAAGTTGTTGTCATGCTGGGACTGCACTGTATCACTCCAACCACCTGAAGAGTGTGATGGTCCTTGAAAGCTTCTTCATTGCAGAGCTTCATGCTCAGCAGATAATAGTTTATGTGCAGACACTTAAAGGGGAGCTAACCTGCTCATTTCAAGCTTGAATTTCTAATTCTTAGACTAAATTTAACCTTTATTTAACTTATGCTGGGCCTTGGTGCAGCCCATCAGCTCATCCATTTCCCATTTAGCTCATCTTGTAATAATATCCGTCCCCTCTCTCAGCAAACCTTCTTCTGATTGGCTGCCTCTTTCAAAGAAAAGGTTTGAATAAAAGGTAGGTGGGGCTTCTGTGCTTCTGTGGATTACTAGACATACACTGATGTGTATGACAGGAAATAAAGAGGAGCATAAAAGGTATCCCTTGAATAATGGGGCACTTTAATTATATGATATTATAATTTTAATAACTTGACCTTTGATAAATTTCCCACTGCACCGTTGGAAATGCATTGCACCCGAGTAAAAACTTTGCAAAATAAGTTTAAACATCAAAGATGGTAAAAGAAGATGTTTTGAACCTCTTTCTTAATCCTTCCACTATAACAAGATGTAGTGTCTGCCTCTCCTTTCCCCTCCTGTCACCCATAGCTGAGCACTGAGGATGAAGCTGTCCTTTGCTATGGAATCATTCTGCCTCAGTAATTTCTCTCTGAAGCTGTGCTTGGCACTGAAATAGAGGTTTGGATCTGGTTTCAGCCTAAAGGCATCAAGTCAGCAGCTCCTGAGCCCACACTGTTTTGGGGAAAAGAAGATCAGCGACACAGAAACATCCCGTCTGACCAGGGTTAGAAGACATATGCATGCTCACCTGTGCTCACAGACTGTGCATACAAAAGAGGGAAAGCAGGGATGCAGAAAAAGCACGAATATCTTGATGAAGTGTTGGGAGACTTACCACTGGAAGAGTACTTTCCTCTGATCCATAGACCAAGGCCTCCCATAAAAACCTGATGAGGAAAAATACAGAACTGAGTGCACGCAGATAACTGAATCACTTGGATGAAAAGATGATTGTGTTAATGCACACTCAAATGAGATCTTCAATGACTTCCTCACTTGTTATCACATGATTCAACAGTAAACATGAAATTTACACTGCAGTCTCACATTTATACACAAAAGGAAAAGGTCTTTGACTATAACCTTTCAGCGCATGCAATTGCAATTTAAAATAATGTGCTTGTTGGTTAACAATATTGTTTGATACACATATATGTGTGGCATTTAACTCCTAATTAATGCAGCGTTTATTCACAAATCAGAGAATTACTGGACACCGTTAGCAGCTGCATTTCTGTAAAGTACAGCTACACAAAATGTTTCAAGATCTTCCCATGCTTATGTGGTCACATGCCTGCTGCGTTTGGCACAGCCATAATTCATTTCCAACTACACTCTCCATCACAGCTTCTATTCTTAGAAATGGGAGCATCTCCAGTGTCCCTCTTCCTCCTTTGTGTTTTGAATAAGTCTGCAATGTGTGTGTATGTGCGAGTGTCTGTGTACAGTAAATGGGTCAGAGTAAAAATTAAATTAGATAGACTTACAATTTTGACTGCTTTCTCCTGCTAAATACCTTTGGGGAATTGGTTTTATATTGGTGTGCATGGGTATGGCATGTCTGCATATGTGTCCTGTGTAAAGCTGCCCACCAAGCCAAACCCAATTACTACCTCTGCTGGATGCCACCACAGGATTGAGCATGTACAGGAATAAGTAATGTGTGTGCAGCACCACTTTGGTAGAAATTCATAGAGTTATAAAGCTGAGACGGTGGACAGACCAAAAAGTGCAGAAACAATGAATCAACTCACATAAAATGAATCTGCAACAATTTAAAATTTTAATCAGTGACCATTTAAAAAAATTCCCTGAGCAAAAACATGAAAGCAGTTCAGCTCCCTGTTTTATATTCTTGTGAACTGTATATTTTTGGAGTTAACTCAAATCACTCATTACAGCCAAGGTGTGCAGAAGCGCATCTCTGAACACACAGCAAACATTCAAGCAGATATGCTACAGCAGCAGAAGACCACACCAGGTGCTACACCTGACAACTGAAACAGGAAACTGAGTCTATAGTTTCCACAGGGTCACCAAATTCCAAAGAAAATTGGAAAAATGTTTCCTGGTCTGATGAGTCTGTTATATTCATCTGGTAGAGTCAGAATTTGGTATAGAAAACATGAGCACATGGATCCACAGTTCAAGCTACTTGTGGGGTGTAATGGAGTGGAGGATATTTTTCTGGCACATTTTGGGCCACCTCTTACCAATTGAGCATCATTTAAATATCACAGATTGTCTGAGAGTTATTGATGACCATGTCCATCCCTTTATGACCACAGTGTACCCATCTGCTGATGACTGCTTCCAGCAGGATAACACGCCATGTCAAAAAGCTCAAATCATCTCTAACTGGCTTCTTGGAAACAACAATGAGTTCATTGTACTCAAACAGCCTCCACAGCCATCAGATCTCAATCTCCCAACAAATCCACAGCCACCGTACGATTCTGTCATGTCAATATGGACCAAAATGTCTGGGGATTGTTTCCAGCACTTTGTTGAATCCATGCCATGAACAATTAATTCAGTTCAACCCAGTACTAGCAAGACATAGCTAATAAAGTGACTGGTGAGTGGTGATACTATTAAAGACAAAATAAACTGTTGAAGCGTGATATCAAAGCTACTGCATGAAAAGTGACACAGAAAAAACAAAATAAATTAATGCCGTTTTGCAGGGAATAATTAAAAAGAAACACTTGAGACAACTTTTTATTATAGGTTGTCAATTTCTTTTCAGTAATTACACCCTGACGATTAAAAATAATCACATAAATGTCTGTCAGTACACATAGTTTGTCATTGGCTTCTATGTTGAACACGAACGTTTCCTCTTCACACAATGCTGTAGAAATGATACTTGGTATCATTTAGAAATGGTCTCTGCGTTGTCTGCACATGTACTAGAGGAGCATTACCGTGCAGATAATGCATGTGGTCAAGTAGTATCTTCAAAGCAAGCTGCTAACTAGGTTTTTGAAATATTTGATGTCATGTACCAATGACCCTATAATGTTGAACGTCTGCTTGTCTACCAGCAGACTGGGAGTTTCTTCTGGGCAGTCACTTTGCCGTTTGTGAGGACTGCACTCTTATTCTTAATGTGACTGGAACCACTGTGGACTTCACCTTTCACAGCTGTTCTTCTTTCTGGCTCTGGTTCTACTCATTTCATACCATGTCATAATTTACTGGCTCTGTGTGAGTGTGGTGGTTATGGAATATAATGATGGGACATGTGTGTCACCATTCCCACTGTCCTTTTGCAGTATCCTCGTAGCTTGTGTCATTCCAGCTCTTCTCTTCTTTGTTGATTTCTTTCATTATCCTGTTAACACTACCATCATTATATGTGTATAAATATATATATATATATATATATATATATATATATATATATATATATATATATTTTTTTTTTTATTTATTTTTTTTTTTCCGTTGTGTTTCCTTAGGTTGGAGCCTAAGGAAACACAATGAAGACCGTATTGAACGTTTTTCATTGCTTGCTTTTTCATCCCCACTTCAAGCCTGACTGATCACCACTAGATCTTTTTAAAAACCCTTTTCATCCGACCTAGGCCCGTTTTCTTAAACACACGCCCCTCACACACGTCTCGAGTAGGTAAAGAAAAACGTTCGGTTGTGAATATAGGTCAAATGGTGGTCTGTTTAAAAGCAGCCCCCCGAGGGAAAAAAAAATCACATGATCTGACAGGTCGATCTGGAAGTCGAGCGCTCTTACCTTCCACCACCCCACAAAGGAACTGCTTCTTCTCCTCCATTCTGGCCTCCCTCCGCTTCCAGTCGGCCCCTAAGGAGCGAGGGCAGACAAGATGCTCTGCCTATCCTGTCAGCTTAGATCCCGGGGATAGTATTCATGCCTCTTCTCGATCTGCTTCCACCTCCTCCTCTTTTCCTTTTCTACACAGCGCTGATGCTCCCGTGCTGCGTTCAGGTGCTCAAGCGAACCTCGTACTTTTTTTTACCAGCAAAGTGCCGAGTAATTTCAGAAAAATGTTAACACAACATACAGCCCACTAACAATTTAAATGATCCCGTTAAAGAGGTGGGTATAGGTTAAAAAAAAAACAAAAAAAAAACACACGATATTTTACTGACAATACAAGAGAATGAAGATGATGGAAATCAGCCAGGACAAGTCATTAAATATCTGTTAAATGTAGGTGTGTAAATCCACAAAGAACTGTGAACCTCAGCAGCAGCAGTATCACAGGTCATCTGCTCACAGCCTGTACACTAAGAAAATCTACTGGAGCGCTCAATAGAAATTATTGTGAGACGTGATTATGTTTAGAGGCAAAGGTCACCATTTACAATGTAGGCAACGTAAAATAGAGATATATTTTTAATCATTCTTCCTTTTCTGTTCTACTACCCAGTTCAAGCTGAGTGCATTCATTGGAATTAAAATTCAGACTAAGATAAAGTTAGTATTTTCAATCTATTATTTTATTATTGCATTAATGTATCAGAAGGTTCAGTTAACTTTGCATAAAAAAGATGGCAGGAATTTTCTTAAAGGAGCTACCTTTACTTTCTTACTTTGAGTTCATTTCGGAACCTGAGTATTTTTTTTAACACAAGTACCTGTACTTCTACTTAAGTTCAGAATTTGTGTACTTCTGCTCCCTCTGGATAAATGGGTGTACAAATTTCCCGAAACACTGAAGGCAGCATCTCCCAGCCGTCTCTTCCAGTCTTCGGGCGCACAGGCGCAATGGCCCCTTGATAAGAAAGGGGAATGAGGTGTGTGTGTGTGTGTTTGTGGATAACTTAATGACCAACCTAATAGTCATCCACAGTTACATTCGTCGCATGTGGTACTTTTCTCATGCACAATACTTCCTGGATTACTGACTTACTAAGCGTGTGGGTGTGGTGGCATATTCGATGTTTAACTGCTCTACAGATGCTTGAAAAGTGTGGAAATTGCTGTGAAAACTATCGTGATATTGGTACTGCAGTATGTTTCTAAATTGTTTTGTATGATGCTTATACTGTGAATAAATGGGCTAGTATATACATTTGACTTAGAGCACCTCTTGCTGGAAATACATTTAATTACACCAGTGCTGCTCCCATAGCAGGAATAAGAATAGAGAAGTACTATGGAGTTACTGTATATGCAAAGTTAATGACTTTTTCTCAGTGTTATTATTATTATTATTCCTTATTTTTATGGCAGGTGCACGTGTACTTACTACTTGGCAGTTTGAACATCTTCATTGCATTCTTTGCTGCTAAATAGATGAAGCATATGCCCCTTTACCAGGCTAATTTTGCATGCGTCATAAGGAAATGAATTCCCTGTTTGGCCTGAATGTCTCCTGGCTCATCTTCAAACCCTGCACTGTACCAGTAAGCATAATGTTAACATCTGATTAAAAAAAAAAACTGTCAAGGTATGAATACACTAAGATAACCATAATTTGTCAGGACAGCTACTTTTTATGCTAAAGAATGTTGTTTGCCCAGATAGTTGCCAGGTATGTTCACTTAAGCTGCAGCTGTGTTAACAAAACAAGTACAAACATGCCAGTCGGTAAGTCGGTTTATTTAAGATATTTCAGTATATATTATGTGTTTGTAATTTTCCATATAAAATACATAATTTATTTTATTTATGCAGTTGCTTTGATCAATATGGTGTCCAAAAGAGAAAATATATAACATGAGGGTTTGTTCCTAGTAACACACAACGTTAGACACGTTTATCGCGTCGCATCAGTTTATAAACTATAAATACAAAAATACATACGTCAAACCGATATGAATATTGTGACTGAGCAAATTGTGTTGTTTTAATTAGTAAATATGTCTAGCTGGCAAAGTAAAAGAAATGTTATGAGGAGTGAGGAGTTATGCAACTGGGGAAAACCCCAGCAAATGCTTTATTTCCTTAAAGAACAGCACTCAAAACACTAAAAGGAGCAGGTGACGAGGTGAAATGTTGGCAGGTTGACATTTAATTATTACCAATCAATTATAGATTACAGATTTTTTTTGAGCCAAGATCTTGAGTTTAGGTAATCAGGATTGACTATAAAACTGCCCTCGGTTTAAAAAATGGTCAATGCAATACTAAGAGAATAAGCTTTTTTCCCCACATAAGCTGTAATCCTTTTTTAAGCAGTTCCTTCCACTGAAGTTCCTGCACGTCACCATTCTGCACGTTGTATATTAAAAAAATATTTATCCTGAAGAAAAATATTGCCAGAATGCCCATGAAAAATCACAGAGACATGACTTGACAGTACTCACTGCAGCATTTTGCGGTCACCCAAAGATATTTCAGGGAGTTTTGAGAACAACTGGATAATAGTGGGTAGTTAGTCCAGTCTAGAACTAATAAATAACTAATGAATTCATTTTTCAGCACCAGAATGATACAACACGTTTCTAATTTTTTGAGATATTGTGCAAATACAAAGAAGCAGTCCTACGTACAGTATTTGTTTAATATGCACACTGAATTATATATCTTGGTCAAAAATGACCCCAACATTCCTCACAGTGTTACTGGAGGCCAAGGTAATGCAATTTAGAGTAAGCATCTGGTTAAACACCATGTTCCTAAGTTTTTTAGGGCCAAGCAAAAAAAAACTTTCTTTCACTCCAGCTTTTTTTATTTTGCTTTTGTGAATATAGCCTGCTGTGGCAGCAGACTTTTCCTAATCTCGTCTATATTCTGTAGTTTCTGCTGTACAACCAGGTTGTTGTACTTGTCCTGAATATTTTTTCTTATAGAGCTGTCTTATAATATAGTCTTTGACATACAGCCACAGTAGCTCAGTTAACAAGGTTTCCTGAGAATGTCAACAAGCAGCTAATCTGCCCTGAATCTGCCATATAATCAGACGTGCAGGCTTTTGAACTGAGCACAGATAAAAAGCTGAAACAGCTGAATGGACTCTCCTCTTTAGTCCAGAGAATGTGGAGTCTATGTTTTTAAATTTTTATTTGTCTGACCACAGAGCAGTTTTCAACTTTGCCTCAATTTTGGCTTTTTTTTCCAGAATGATAAAGCTTTAACCTGCATTTGTGGATGGCATCTTTCCTTCGCTACATTTCTAATATGCTCTTTTTATACCCAGTCATGTTTCTGACCTGTTGCCAATTATCCTGCTTCGTTGCAAAATGTTCTTCCTGCTTTTTTTTGGTATCACCTAATTTTTCAGGTTTTAGTTGCTCACACGCAAACTTTGTTGAGACATGTTGCTGCTATCAGATTCAAGTTAAGTTTAGATTTTACTTCCTGATAGTTTTGTCAAATGATTTGTCACAGAAGAATCTGTTTTACTTCCTTTAGTCTTAGCTACACCCACAAGGATGATCTTTAAACAGTCACAGCAGAAGTTAAGCACTAATAAACTCTGACATTGTCATGCTCAATGAATCCTAAGGGGCACTTGGAGTATTTTTTTCTAAGAATCGGTAAGAACAATTTATATATCTAACATATTTAACTGGAATGTTTTCTAAGGATCTGTTTCCATATCTGCACATCCACACATATGTTATATTTATAGTAGCAAAGATATATTTATTTTACATTAAACAGTTTAACATTATGACTTTTTTCATAGTTTGGACTTATGGATTATAGACTGATCATCCTGGTGTTCACAGGTTGGTGCTTTTTTTTCTATTTAAAAAATCATTACAGGTCAAAAGTCTTCCTTTAATCCTACCTACATACATGTGTTTCTAGATAACATGTAACTGCAACAGAGTGGTCAGCTTGAAAAAAAAAAGCTGTATCCATCAGTCGTAAATGTATTCTTGAGCAGCAGTCCTCAACCACTGGGCCACGGACTGATACTGGTCCGTGAGTTGTTTGGTACCAGGCTGTGGCTTGGGTTGTGCGTTGAGGCTCAGGTGTGAAATTTATGGTTTTCAGGGTTTTTAATCTTTTTTTTTATCGTTTCTATCGTAAAATTGGTTTCCCTGGGTCTTTCCCGTATGTTATGTTCGTTTTTTTTATACCGGTACTGGTTTTATTTATTAATGTTTTATTTAGACACGACACCTTAAAGGTCGGTCCATGAAAGTATTGTCAGACATAAATCAGTCCATGTTGTAAAACACGTTGGGTACCGCTGCTCTAGAGGACATCTGGATTTGTTGCTGTAGTCATAATTTTAGATTTTTCTTAAAACTATGACATAAACTAACTAACTAAACTAACTAAATTAATTCAAATACAATACAGATTTCAATCAGTTCCGAATACTGTCTGACGCATACTTCCCCACAGTTATGTAAGCCTGTTCAATGGTTTTTATGAGCCTGAAACTGAAGCTAGCTCTAGCTCAGCTTGCAGAGGACAAATTGTCTCAGTTTTAGATTTTAAATTCAGTGCTGTTTAGTCTAGGTTAGGTGCAGCATTCATTAATGTTATATAACACAGGTATGTAAAAGTAAAGTCAATGACACGGTATTGAAGGAGGTATTTTCATGATATAGATTTATGGTGAAAATCAAAAATCATATCATTGATTAAGACACTTTGTGAAACCATGAAGCAATATTTCTAATAATATATCTGATTCATATTCCCTTTTATATCATTTTGTTAAATAACATATAAATTCTACACAATTCATAATGCTACATAATTTAATAATGCCTTATTTCAGGAGCACTGGTTAGTGTTGCCTTTTGTCAGACTCGTCAGTACTACTTTGTGAGCACCTCAAAGACATGGACAGATGCACAGAGTCACTGCAGAAATGTCTTCACTGACCTGGCAACCATAGAAAACACAGCTGATCTTTATGCTGTCACAAGCATTGCACCAAACACAGGTGAGTGTTTAATATTTGAAGTAAAAATAATACATAACAAACTGTAAAAATATATACATTCACAATAATAAAATTCTTGAGAAACCTTAAAGGAATACAGAAAACAGAAAACTGCATCTTTTTAAACAGGTAAGGCATGGATAGGTCTCCATGATGACCTGCAGAACAGTTGGAGATGGTCCCTAAATGACAGCAGCTTCTATGGTGTGGGAGAGGCAGCATTTAGAAACTGGTATCCTGGTTCGCCCAACAATCTTAATGGACAGCAACAGTACTGTGTGGCACTTTTAAGTGGGAGTCCATACAATGGTGAATGGGATGATCGTTATTGTGGCAATAACTACTCCTTTGTGTGCTATAATGGTGAGTTTACATGGAGTAAGAATTAACAATGTGTCAAATATTTCTCCTCAAACATTTTGACCTACTCAGTCTACATCATAAATCTACTATTAGGTCTCCCTTTTCATTTCCTGAACTCCACACACATTTTATTGAAAATATATAATCGGCAAGTCCAACCTATCAGTCTACTGGTTCATTATTTCTGTATATTTGCAGGTACAATAAATGGTGAAGCATCCTTTGTTAAGGTTAACAGTACTGTAAATTGGACTGATGCTCAGAGTTTCTGCAGGAATAATTACGTTGATCTAGCCAGGTATAGTATCCACTAAAGAAGACTTTTCTGTTTATTATGTCAGGGCCATTAGCTGATTAGTTGGTTGCCTACTTTTGTTTTAGTCTTTTTTGTTTTTTATTTTTTAAGGTAATAGAAAATAATGAAAATATACTACACAAAAAGGTGTTTGTTATATGTAAGACTGCTGTTCCCCTGTTTGTTGCTGGTTGACACCAAATCTCGAAAGAGCCATTAAATGCACTTTATTTTAAAATAATTTAAATAAGTTCTAATAATATATTGGAAAATGCGTTGCATGTTGAAGTATCGGTTGTTTTACTTCTGCTTTAAAAATCCAACTCTTCTCCCTGCAGTATAAGAAATCAGACAGAAAATCAGAAGATCGCGGTCCTAGCAAATGGAGTTTTTGTGTGGATCGGTCTGTATCGGCAAAAGGTGTGGTCTGATGGGACTGACTCTCTGTTTCAATACTGGTCCACTGGGCAACCAGACTCTGGAAATGAGCAGTGTGTTGCTGCAGATTTCAGTGACTCAGGACGATGGTCGGATGAATTGTGCTCTAACAACTTTCCATCCATCTGTTTTACTACAAGTAATAGATCCAATTTCTACTCTCATATACTGAATAGATATTCATTTTTGAGTTAAGGCAGTTTACTATGAGGTGCTGTAAGGGACATTATTACTGAAACGCTCTCACACACACTACTGAAATTTTATCTCTCACACACACTACTTTAAGGTGTCTTGGATAAATACAATAAAATAAAACCAGTACCGCTACCCAAAAAAAGAAGATTTAGGCCCAGGGAAACCAAGTTAACAATATAAACTATATAAAAATACAAAAACGATAAATACCCTGAAAACCATAAATTCCAAACTCAAGCCTCAACTCTTGCCCGGTACCAAATGATTCACAGACAGGTACTGGTCCAGGACCTGGGGGTTGGGGACGGCTCTGCTTGTAGCCTAAGTGAAGCAGTTGCATTACTTAACAATATTTTAGCTCCCTTGAATCCATTCCTGGATTCAAGGGAGCTAAAATATTGTTAAGTAATGCGGCTTGAATCCAGGAATGGATTCAAGGGAGCTAAAATATTGTTAAGTAATGCACCTTGAATCCAGGAATGGATTCAAGGTGCAACACGGAATTTGCCAAGTATGTCCTGTTTCCCCTAAGCTTTTAATATTGGCAACTCACTATTAATCAAAAGTTCTAACGACATAGAAGGAATATAAATTTTTAATAAAGACTTCAAAATAAGTCAATTCGCAGATGATACATCTATTGTTTTGATAGATAAATACGTGGTAGAGAAAACTAAATTTTCTCTAAAGCTTCTGGTTTATCTCTCCGTATCAAAAACTGTGAACTACTCCCAATTCTCTGACTCCTCAATAGCTTTGGTTAGAGTTGAATCTAAAGTTAAATATATAGGGCTGATAATATCTAAAAAAAATAACTAATTAGCAGAGAAGACACTAATATTTCTAACTGTATCATGGAGATGAAGAAATCACTTAGCCACTGGTTAACCAGAGACCTCGCTATTTTTGGCATCCTATCTAAAGCTGAAGGCATCTCAGAATTGATTTATCCTTGTCACTCTCTATATATCTCCTCTAAAAGCACTAATAAGGCTAACACAGTTATTTTCAAATTTTTGTGGAGGAATAAAACCCATTACATTGAAAGATCTCAGCTTGTGAAGGAATACAATAAAGGTGGTATCAAAACTCCAGAATTTGAATTTATGGTTGGTACCCTTAGAATTAAATGGTTAAAATCTTGTCTGCCACAGCCAGACTCTACGTAGTTCCACATCCCATGATCCTTGTTTAACAAAATAGGAGGATTAGAGTTTATTTTGAAATGTGATTTTGAGGTAAATAAAATTCCGATCAAACTTTCCAAAACAGACTTTGCATTTTGCAAAATGAGATTTACCCACAACTTCTCCCCATAATTCAACCTTATGGAATAATAGGGTAATAACACTTAATCAAAAATCAATTTTCAAGAGCGACTGGTTTAAACAAAAAGATTATATTCATAACAGATTTGTTGGATGATAACTGTGTCATTCTAAGTTACACAGACATTTCAGAAAAATATTGTCTAAACTGTTCTCAAAGAGAATATAACAAATTTTGTAAACTGGTCCCACTGCCTCTGCTTCATTTTTTTTTT